ACCATTTTTATCTGGGGTCACCTTTTAACATAGCTTGAGATGAATGGATATGGGAGGCATAACAGCTATAAACCATAGAAAATATTACTTACAATCAGGCCATATCTAAAAACATTCACCTTTATGTTTCAAAGTGGCAGTTGCTAAATTTCAACCTTGGCTGAGGAATAATGATATTCTAGCCAGTCATTTATAAGTAGGTGCCAGGGGAGGTCAGACATATCAACAATGGAGGAGACAGAGTGTTTGTCTTCTGTGTGTTTATGATTTTGTGTAAGAGAAAGACACAAACTAAAATGTGTAATTCTTTTTTATTTAATTTTTTTTGTTTTAGATTCAGGGGATACGAGTGCTTGTTTGCTTTACATGGGTGTACTGTGTAGTGGTGAAGACTAAATATCAGGTGGCCCATTCCCCAGATAGTGAACATTGTACCCAATAGGTAGTTTCTGGACCCTTGTCCTTCTTCTTGCCTTCCCCCTTTTGGTGTCCCCAATGTCTCTTATTTCCACCTTTATGTCCATTTATGTATAGGTGAGAATAGGTGCTTTTTGGCTTTCTGTTTCTGAGTTGGGCCACTTAAGACAATGGCCTCCAATTCTATACATCTTGCTACGAAGGGCATGATTTTATTTTTTATGGCTATGTAGTATTTCATAGTGTATGTACAACACATTCTCTTTATCCAGTCAACCATTGATGAGCACTGAGGTTGGTTCCATGACTTTGCTATTGTGAATAGTGCTGCAATGACCATATGAGAGAAGGTTTCTTCTTTTATATGATGACTTCTTTTCCTTTAGTTAGATATCCAGTAATGAAACTGTTGGGGCAAATGGTAGTTCTATTTTTAGTTCTTTGAGAAATGTCCATCTGTTTTTCATAGAAGTTGAACTAGTTTACAAACCCACCAAGAGCGCATAAGCTTTTCTTTTTCTTTATATCCACACCAACATCTGTTGTTCTTTGACTTTTTAATGATAACTCATTGTGGTTTTAATTTGCATTTCTCTGGTGATTAGTGATGTTGAACAGTTTTTCATATGTTCGCTAGCTGCTTGTGTGTCTTCTTTTGAAAACTGTTCATGTCCTTTCACCACTTTTTGATGGAGTTGTTTATTTTCATATTGAGTTGTTTGAATTTCTTATAGATTCTGGATATTAGTGTTTTGTCTGAGGAATAATTTGCAAATATTTTCTCCCATTCTATAGGTTTTCTGTGCACTGTAGTTGATTATTTATTTTGCTGTGCAGAAGCTTTTTAGTTTAATTAAGTACCATTTGACTATTTTTGTTTTTCTTGCATTTGCTTTTGGGGTCTTCATCATAAATTTGTCTAAGCCAATGTCCAGAAGATTTTTCCCTAGATTTTCTTCTAGGATTTTTATAGTTTCCAGTCTTATGTAAAATTTCATTTTTTCGTGTACATGTATGCTATAATGTGTATGCATGTGAGTGATATATTGTGTTTATAGCATACGTGTGCATGTGAATAGTGTGTGTGGTATGGGGTTTGTGTGTGGTTGTGCTATGTGCACATGTGTTTGAGTGAGATGTGTATGTGTGATTTGGTGTGCTTTTGTGCATGCAAGTAGTGTGTATGTGTAGGTACATGTGTGAGTAGTATATGTGTGTGTTCTTCTGTATGTATGCTTCATGCCTGTGTGTGCTTTGATGTGTATGGTGTGTGGGTGTGCAAGTGTGTGCACAGTACTGTTGTCCCACTGAAAGTTATTGGACTTCATATTATTCTCCAAACTTCAGATGGGGCTTAGGTTTTCAATATGGCATGTGCCTCAGCAACAGAGAAAACAGGAGATATCGCCAAGCAAATACTCATCATAAAATAACGAAAACACATGTGACCAAAGCTCACCAGGTTTTCAGAGAAAGCAATGGTAGAGTCATACAATCCACAAGAAAAATTTAGCATTAGGGTTTGAATGTGTCCCCCAAAGTTCGTGTATTGGAAACTTTTTTTTAGCATTTTGCTAGACACATTTTATTTTATGAAGAATAGTGAACTTGTAGCAAACCCACATTTCCAAGATTAAACATGTGGATGAAAGTGAAAACAATTCTGGATTGTGGTTTACATCGTTTTGTTGGAATTTTTACATTAAAAAAATCTGCTTGATTTGATTATCAGCAAAAAATCTGATGCTAACAGGAATTTGTGACTTATTTTAAAACCTCTTAGGGAGTAAGGAGGTTCTACTTAAGAAATGTAAATCAGAATGCACCATTAGTGTCATGAGCTTTACAGAAGAAACAGGAACTGATCAATTTCAAACTGTTTTGAGAACTTTTCGCAGCAGTTTTCTGAAGAAGAGGGCGGGGCTGAGGGGGGTGACAGCTGAGCAATCCCAGGGAACAGCGAGCAGGGTTTGTTCACTGGAGACAGAACAGATTTTTGTGCTCACCACTGCCTGGGAGTATGCACTCGGGGATTTTTTTTTAAAGGTCTAAAGCCTGGCAGAAGGAGTATTCAACCTTTCTGCTGCCATAAGGCATCCTGATGGCCTGTGAATGGGCCAGGACTCTAATGAGACTAGTGTGGCTGTGGCCAAGCCAAAGGGAGCCACTGTTGCCTCCTGAGTCTCAAAATGCCTTTCCAAACAAGTGTGCAAATAACTATAGGCAGAGTAAAATATGCACAGGCGCTTTGTACTATGGTACATGTTCTTCAAAAGAATGTTCACTGAAATGTTTTGGCTACTGAAGCCACTTTCTTTAGAGTTTCTATGTGAACTTCTGTAGTGCTGTGACTTCTCCTCTAGCAGGTGCACACCTGGCTTAACCTGCAGCTGATGGAAGCCACAAAAGCAGCCCCTAAGGTTTTCAGTACTTGGAGATGAGGGCTGGTGAAGGCCCCCAACCCAAGACACTGCTACCCATGACCCATGCTTTGCAAATAAAGTGGGTGGAAAACACCACAGACTAGGACCAAGGCCCAGGGCAAGGGAGGGGGCAGAAAGCAAGGAGACACACAAGATCCATATTTAGCATCCGAATAGTACTCCTGCCTTGGCTCATTAGTAGAAAGACCACAAAGGGGAGGTCATCTGCTGGTAGAATGTTTAGGGGAAGACCAGAGAGGAATTGTGAGGCTTCTTCTGAGAGGCCCATCCTGGAAGTGTTTCCTTGTATGAATGCTTGAAAACATGCAGCATACACATCAAATTCTAAGCAGTAGAGTCATGAGGACCCTGCAGAGCACAGTCAAGAACCAGGAATCAGGAAGCAAAGGTTCTGGACATCCGCTTGGATGTCAAGGCTGCCCAAGACCTTCACCTCCCCGAGGGCCCACCAATTCTCATAGGCAACCAGGGTTGGCTTTTTGGGCCAGTCTAGAGATTCCCATCCCCTGGAAGATCAGACATCATCAACTATTGGATGGTTGGGGGCAAGTGGACTGGAGTCAGAAATGTAACTTTGGCCTAAGAGTGGCGAGGAGACCACCACCAAGAAGACACAAGGTCTGGAAGGCAAGGTTCTGCAGTCACCAGCAGGAACCATGGGCCTCACTGGCCAAGCACCCAGCACAATACCGGGTGCTCATTGCGACAGGCTGCATCTGGGTGCTCTCCTTAAGATGGAGGGGGGTGGTATGCAAAATATCTCTGAAGGATTTTCACTGGACAGAATGGGATGATTCAGTTATCTGGCCATGTCATTTTCAAAGAGTTGCTTAATCCCTGATTATAAGCAAAGTATTTTTCTACTGTGCAAATATTTTGAGGTCAGATTTAATAACTGACAGTATCACTTTCCATGTGGTCCAGAGGGCACACTGTCTTTCACCTACACTGCATAAATGTTTACACTGAACAGCAAGCACTGGCATCAGTGCTTCCCCAGAAGTGCTCTCATGAACACATCACTCCATTGACACCTGAAACACCGACCAGGCACCTTGGGGGAAGCCCCAATAGCTACTGTGGAATTTTTGTGATTTTGTGCCTGGGACGGGCACCAGGCAGAGAACTACGTTTCGTGGCTCCCCAGGGGTGGAAGTCAGCTGCTGGTCTCCTGACCCACCTAGAAATGATGCCTAGTGCTCAGCTGGTGAGTTCCTCTGATGCCAGGCAGAGGAATTATGTGAAGTTGCAGTACCTCTCCTAGGCCCTGAGAGGTGGAAATTACTGTGCCTTACAGACAAGCCCAGAGCCCCTGAGATGCCACCACTCACTTTATCCAGCCCCACCCTTCCTGCTATGTGCACTCAGATGTGTGGCCAAATAGCAGGGGGCCACCTTCAAGTCCAGTGGGTACAATGCATGATTGCAAACAGGAAGCAAGGCCTACATTCCTCACCTGCTGAATCTCCGTGACAGATTAATCTCACAATCAGAGATTCTATAAATTAAGACAAGCAGACTAAACCTAGTAGATGGCAGACAAGGAGGAATCCAGAGGTTGAAAGAGGCTAGCAGTTCAATTTGAGAGTGTTAGGCAGGCAGCAAATGAAACTAGACATTTATTTTGCATTTGATTTCATTGGTTCAAAAGTCTAAAGGCTGGAGTAAATCCACTCACCTCTCCTCAGGGCTCTTCCTCTGAAATGCGTTAACCTGGATGAGCATGGCTGATTCCTGGGCTTCCAAGGTCTTGGAGACTCACCCACTGGCAGGCCTGGAGCCACAGCAAACTCAGGAGAAGACCACAGGTACAGTCTCAGTGGCATCAGACACAGTTTGGGCTGATTCCTGAGGTGTCTGTCCTATCTCTCAGAACAGAGAGAATCTGGTGCAGATAAGCCGCTACTGGCTCACGATCACACGACCACTGCAGGAACACCAGCAGCAGCTGCTTCAGGCTCCAGCCAGTTTCCTCTGGACAGCGTGTGAGAATGAGCCCCCTGTTTTTTTTGTTTGTTTTTATTTTTATCATTCAGATCTAGCTTCAAAGGGCTCTGAAATGTTCTTGCCACATCTGGACCTGAAAGCAAGAGCTGATTTTTAAGAACCAGATTCTCACTGCATTTGGACAGAATGAATAATGTGTCTTTCATATTTTCTTTGTATTTCTCTTCAATAGTTGCTTGACCCAACATCTTTCTGTCTGCTCTATACAATGAAAATGCAAACTAAATGAGAATAGAAAAAATAATTAAAGCATTAAATTGTACAAATTACAAATCTGTTCCAAAATATACTTACATTAAATAAAATACGCATTTCAATAAGAGATCTACAGTGAATGACTATGCATTCTGGGAAGCTTCACAACATCTAGGAAGGGCCAACATTGTGGAAGAAGCTAAGAGAATTTGCATCCAATCACAGTTTGTAGCAGGTTTCTTATTGCCAATCTGCGAGTTACACTGAACACATCATTAGCATCACTTGTGCAGAAAACCAATTTTGTCTGGGAAAAGGGTAAGCAAGCTCTAGCCTCAATTTTTAGTTCATTACAACTTCTCAAGAATTTCACCAACAGCCTATACAGTACAATTTTTAAAAAGTAAACATATTAAGGTAAGCAGACAACTCTTTAGAAGCCCAAAGACATCTTCTTGCTGTATTTATGTTGAATTCTCCATCTACAGTGGACGTCATGAAGATGGTCTTCTTCAGTACAACATGGTCACAGGACTGGGACAATCCAGTAAGACTGAGAGGGAGCATAAGGACTGGGGAAGGGGGCTACCTCTTGCTGTTTCACCTTAGAGACAAACTGTAATGCATAGTCCATGGGCCTGCAATCTTCTCCTTTTATCATCTGGCATAACGTTTGATATAGTCATCCACTTTATTCCTGAAGTCCTCCTTGTCCCGCAAATGATGTTCTGCAGCTTCAATATTTAGTGGGTCATCAAAATTCAAAAGATCAGTAAACAAAGAGTTTAATCCCCAAACAACATCCTTTAACGTTCTCGTGGGAGCCCAGCCAGTGCCGTCAATTGAATGTCCTCTCAGTAAACTTAGACATATTTCACCTGTCTCTGTGATGTTGGGGTGCCAGATCCTGGTCAAGCATTTCACTTTGGGAGGCACCATGTTGTACGCCTCGGGAACTTCAGTTTCAATCTGAAATTTTCCACCCTGGTAGTAACCCTCATCTGGGGTTACAGTTAGCTGAAAGCAGTGAAGCTTGTTTGGATCAGGGAAATGCACTTTGCATGTACAAGGTCAATTAGCTTCAAGTTCTGTAACCTCTTTAACAAGCAGCTCGTCTCTCACAGAAACTTCTCCGAGTGGAGTCGGACGCTGTGGCTGACGTCCGGGACCCTTTGAGACCATCATCACGCTTCAGTTTGCTTGCTAGCGTTAGCATTACTGTTTCCTTTACCCTGGCCACCCGGAGACAGGCGAGGCGGGCCCGGCGCCCAACACCATGCCCCGCCCGGGCGGCGGCACCGAGAAGCGGCCCCTAACCCGTGTATTGGAAACTTAATCTCAGTGCAACAGTGCCGAGGGCCGAGATGCTTAAGAGGTGATTGGATCACAAGGACCCTGCTTTTATGAATGAATTGATGCTGTTATCTCAGGAGTAGGTTGATTATCGTGGGTTTCTGCTGAAAGGGTGAGTTTGACTCTCTTCCCGTTCTCTCTTGCCCATGCAATGCTTTCTGTGATGCTACATTATGACACAACAAGAAAGACCTTATTAGATGTGGTCCTTTGATCTTGGACTGCCCACTCTCCAGCACTGTGAGCCAAATACATTTCTGTTTATTATAAATTATCCGGTCTATCATAGTTTGTTATAATAACACAAAATTAAGTAAGAAACTTAACTCACAAGGAATGTTCTGTGGTCAAAATGTGTCTTTGGCTCTGTGTATTATCAGAGTGGAATCTGCTGTCATTTCTCTTATGGGTAAAACACAAATGAAGTGACCAGTGCTGTCCCATTCAATTCATTTGGCTGGGTATTTGGTAATAGTTCTCTCTGAATTTTCAGAGTGGTAAACTAGATTAGGTACAGGGCTGGGATGGCAATGCATAACAAATACATTTTGGCTCCCTGCTCTCATGGCTATGAATAATTTATCACACAATTTCTTTTCCTGCTGAGCCAAGAGCTGTCTGTCAGTTTCTGAACCTTCAGCTCCTTGACCGTGACTTCATTTTTAGCCTCTGGGCCTGCCTTTCAGATTTACTGTCTCTCCTATGTAGCCTGTATATGGAGAGTGGCTGTCCCTTATACCATCTTTACCGTTTTGTCAAAGCATCTCCTGTTTTTTCACATGGGAAGTTTGCACAAGAACTTAAGGAAGTATTACAAATTATTAAACAAGGGTGGTTCACGCATAATGAACATTTGTATACCTAACCCCCAATTGTACCCCACATCTTTAAAATAAAGAAAAGAAAAAGAAAAAAAAAAAAAGAAATGAGGTCAAGTGAAGATATATGTTCACACTTGCTTATAAATGCATAAAGACATTCTGAAAAGATGCACAAGAACATGGTAATAATGACCTTCAGCTGTGTAAGGCCAATGGGCAGGAAAAGAGCAAATAGGGAAAAAAGTGGGTGGGAAATTCTATATGCTTCATTATTAAATATTTTTTAATTATACACATACAATATTTAAAGATCCAATTGCAAAATAAAATGCACTATATTCAATACAAGCACACTAAAGATAATTTAGGTCACAGAAAAAAAAAGTTAAAAAATATTCCCTAAACTCATCTTTCTACTACCATCTATGTTAAATCTTCAGTGTATTTCCTTTTTTTCTTTTTTTCACTAAGAATGGGAATGTTTTCTTCTTATTTTTCCATCGACATGTAATAATTATACATACTTATAAGACAAGAGTGATATTTCAGTAAGTGTATACAATGTGTAATGATCAATGAGAGTGATTAACATATCCATCACCTCAAATATTTATCATTTCTTTGTGTTAAAAAACATTCAAGCCGGGCTCGGTGGCTCAACCTGTAATCCTGCGCTTTGGGAGGCCGAGGTGAGTGGATTGTCTGAGCCCGCGGGTTCGAGACCTGCCTGGGC